TTGTAACGTCTCTCCATGTGCATGCCCTCTCCTCTCCGTGAAACACGGATCCTCGGGCTTCAAGTGACCTCACGAGGTCCCTTCGAGCTGAGGATGATTTGGCTGGAAAATCCTCGGAGCCCAAGGATTGGTCCTCCCGGAGTGTTTTCACATTTTCGTTTCTGATTTCATCTTCGAGGACAGGTGGAACAATCGTGTCCTCGAGAAGTGTCTAACGACGCCCTAACTGGCGGTTGAAACTCGAAAGAGCCCCATTCTCGACATAGCCATCAGCACTTCTTTTTTTCTTTTTTTTTCCTTCTTTTTTTCTTTTTTCTAATGGGAGTTATATGTCTTTATTACGGATAGGCCTGAGACCGGGAATTCCTCAACATTTCAACCCGGCAAATGCTGGGGCCATGTTATAGAGGTAAATTTTGACAGGATCCTCAAAGTTTTACACTGGCCCGTCTGCTGACCCAATAAAGAAGTAGATGGTTACCCCGATGGGAAAGCTGGGTTCTCTCAGGTAGAGCCACACACTGTTTCAAATGAGCAAGTGGGACACATTCTGCACCCAACTCCAAGTCAAACCACCAGTGCCTCGGGGCTTCTTTTTCCCTTTCCCAGCTTTGTTGTGCACAAAAACGAACCGGCACTGTGATACTTGTTCTGCTTTGAAGCTGGTGCCACCATCCAGAGAGGTCCTGCAGGCCGAGGCCCCCCAAAATCAGGATCATAGAAAAACAAGTCCGAAGGCAATGGATGGGAAGGGTACTGGATGTTTACGAGCAAGCTAGAAGGTGGCACCAGCTTCAGGCTCGTAAACGTCCAGTACCCTTCCCAGCCATAGCTAGAAAGGGGACGGTTCCACTGCACCACAAACACCACAAGCACGTCCGAAGGCAATGCCTGGGAAGGGTACTGGACTTTTACGAGCAAGCTATGGGGGACAGCTCCACCACACCACAAACACCACAAACACCACAAACACCACAAACACCAAACAGAAAACCAGTTATGGCGGCATGGGCCTCAACACACCACTTGCACAACTAAAAAAGTGTGGGCTCGTTTATACAAACAAGTCCTGGAAGGCAACGGCTGGGAAGGGTAAACCACTTATGGCGGCATGGGCCTCAACACACCACTCGCAGAACTACAAAAGCGCGAGTGCATCTTCCTGCATAAGGTGGTGTGATAGGTTCTCGCTACCTATTCATAGTATCAAATGAATACTTTCGGCCATCGTTGGGAAGACGAACAACCTTTTTCTTGCGTTTCGCAAGTCTGGCAAGGCTCATATATTGTGTCTCAGTCCAATACTCTAGAATCGCGAAAATTCACGAGTCTGGCGTCCCCCCACTGACTCACGAATCCAGCTCGCGGACCCAGATTCGTGAGCTGTCAGAAACGACTCACGAAATGCACTCTGGGAGGTGGCTCATGAGTACCCCGCCTGCACCTCCAAGTCGCTGAATTTCGAGGGGTCATAGCTTGGCCTATTGAAGGAGCCACTCTTTTGAAGTGTGCGCCTCGTGTCTGGGGACTCCGGGCAGACAAACCAGGCTGGGTTCCAGAACAGCCCTTAGCCTTTCCTTAGTAACGGTCCCAGTGTGGCCCCTCCAGGCACCTCGCATGCATTGTACGCCCCCGCCCCCTCGCCACCTCCTGCCCCTTCAGGCACCTCGCATGCACTGTATGCCCCCGCCCCCTCGCCACCTCCTGCCCCTTCAGGATTCACTGTGAGACATCCCAAAGAGCACCCCACCTGGCTCCCACAGACGTTTCTAGAGTAGGGGCACCGCTCCACTTCACTCGCGAATCCCTGTTACGGTTTCATGAGTCCTTCAAGAGTCAGGCATCAGTGAGTAAGTGCAGCGATGGCCGGATTTTCGCCTTTTTCGAGAGGTTGCCAGCGCTCAAAAGTCACACAATTTTTTTTCGTGGGTTCTAGGGTGGTGAGGAGACCCGTGGTCACATATCGAACATCTAAAAGAGCGCACTTTGCAAAATGAACAAACCATAAAAATACAGAAGAAGGCAAACGTGAAGAGCACACTGGCTTTTTCCAACAGGCTCTCCGAGCCTTTGAGAGACTCAGTGTTACACTCTTAACCATCCGATTCCCCCCCCAAAAGGCTGGGCTGACACCAGTGGGTTTAAAGTTTTAACTTTTAACCACCACTACTGCCTAACCTCTTTTTGCGGAGGTGGAAAAGAAGTGCACGCCAAGCTATGCCAAAGCACCAGCCAAGTTGGCTTTTTTTTTTTTTTTTTGGCTGGAGCTGCCAGCCATTGCGGTCCATTAGCAGTGTTGATCCGAAGAACCCAGAATGTTACATTTTCATTTCTTCACGGTGAGAAAAGAAAAAAAAAAAGACGGTGCCTCGGAAAGGTAGTGGTGGGGTTCAGACCCCCCAGTACATGCCCCAGGCAAACTTGAGAATAGACATCATGGCACTGCTCTCATTTAGAATAGACGTAAACGTTGTCAAGCCAATCCGAAAATTTTTGGAGGCTCAGGACTACCGGACCCAAATGGCTGCCGACACCAGTCGTAAGAAAACAATATGCGCTGCACTGGCGTTTTGGCAAACCTTGGCGCGCATGGGGAATCTGCCTCCGAGTCGGCAAAAAGAGGCTCGGATGTACTGGCGGTCTAATAGGGCTTCCATGTTGGAGGAGCGGTCTGGTTTTTAGGGGGTGGAGCCTCTCCCCCGATCCCAGCCAGCATGATCCACGTCCGAGGCACTTGTCTCCAACCCTGGAAACATCCTTGGCGCCAAAAAAAAAAAAGGATCCGGCGTGGCCTCCTTTCGGCTGGTGTCGCCAGCCATTTTGCTTCGGAGGCCGAGGGGCGAAAGTTGCGGCACGGCCACGGCCGATGTATGGGCCAAGTACTCGTGGTCTAAGCTCAGCTCACGATTGCTATGTCAACGCGCAACGCCTCCTCGACCAGGTTGTCAGGCCGGGCAAGTCCCAGCCAACCTCTCCGGAAATGAAGTAAGGCTCGTGGAGAGGTCACATCTCACCTTGACTCGTAACCACAATCATGGCGGAACGGCTGTTTTGAAGATGGAGCCCAAATCCGAGCCTGTTTCCAGGGGAACTTCTTGAGCTCCGAGCGGGGGCTGAAGGGATTGAAAGGGCAGCCAGAATCAGTGTGAAGGGCTGTACTGTGTAAGCTGAAGAAGGCTGTTTGTGAAAACAGCTGCCTATATTGGAAGAGAGTGGGGACGAGCTAAAGAGACAATCGACACTATGCAAACACCCTCAGACATCCGAAAGAAACCTTTGAGTTTTCAACGGATTGGCTGCCAGGGGAGCAAAGGGACTGCGTGGCAGAGGTGGAATGCAGTGGGGAGCCAAAAGACGCTCGCTGGAGCCCCCATCAAACGAGACTATAGACTCTCCTTCCACGAGTGGGACCACCGTTGACGCCCAGATTCCCATGTGACCCCCCGAATATTTCCCTGACCCTTCCGAAAAGTGCCTCCAGTCGGATGCACTGAAGATAGTGCTAGTGTGAGTACGCCCTAAATCTGGCGAGGAAGTTCGTGATGACCCTCAGCCAAATGTTGTGTATACCAATTTTACAGCACATACCTTCTTTTCCTGGAATGGTTTTGGAAAACTGGAGGAATTTTTAAATATTGCGGCCCCGCGCAACTTGACAAGACATGTTGCCATGGCAGTTTTCCACCCCAGACATCCGGATCCAGACCCTCCCAGATGTCCCGCTAGACTGCCTAGCATGACCCACATTTCGAATTTGAAACAAGGAGAGGCAGGATGTGGGAGAAAACTCTCCCCCCTATCATGGGCCCTATGTATGCAGTTAGCGAAAACATAATTTCCATGCCAACAACTGCAGTGGAAAATTCTTGAGAAAAACGGTCAAGCACTTCCCTTCCTTCTCACAGTAAACACTTCCCCTTTCGCACAAGGAGATTGCTAGAAACACCGTTCACGCCGTCTCTCTCTCTCTCTCTCTCTCTCTCTATCTCTCTCTCTCTCTTGGATCGGACATCACCCAACTTCTCAGCATCCAGACTTGAGATCCCATTAAAAAAAAAAAAAAAACACCTTCCCATAAAGAGCACGTGGAAGTAAGAAACTGCGATCAAGTGGAGTCTGAACTATTGCAAAGAAGAGCATGCACTGTGTGTCTTTTTAACGGAGAACGGGGGAATTAAACTTCCGTTGAATCCTGTTGAAACTGAAAAAATCCCGTTGAATTCCTGTTAAATGCAAAAATGGGCCGCTCCCGCGCTTTTGGAAAAACGGAATTGATGCGCGGGGTCCGGAACACGTGGCCCTAGGCACCTCCGCACTCAACCCCCCCCCTTAAAAAAAAAAGCATTCCCCCAACCCCTGAAGCACCTCTTATACCACTGAATTAGACCAACACCGACCGGCCTGCCACCCACCACTGACGAACCCCCCGGCACCAGTCCCCAAACCTACCCGGAAGACCTCTAAGCCATCCGCCCCCACATCCCCCAACCCCCAAGGCCCCAGTTATGTGTGTGCAGGTGTGCTGTGTGTGCGCATATGTGTGTGTGTGTGTGTGCCTGCGTGTGAGAGTGTGTCTGTGCATGAATATGTATGTATGCGCAGGTGTTTGTGTATGTGTGTGTGTGTGCGTGTGCGTGTGCATGATTGTTGGCGTGTGTGTGTGTGTGTTTGTGTGTTTGTGTGTGTGTGTGTGTGTGTGCATGTGTGTGTGTGTGTGTGCATGTGTGTGTGTGTGTGTTTATGTGTGCTTGTGTGTGTTGTGTGTCTGTGTGTCTGTGTCTGTGTCTGTGTGTGCGTGTCTGCTTTTCCTTTTTTTTAATTTTTATTTGTTTTTTATGTTTTTTTTTTTTTTTAAATACATGAAGTTAAAATAAAAAATAAAAAAATATGTTGTTGTACATCTTTGAAATGTCTATAACCCTATATTTTTATTTTTGTTTTCTATTTTTTTTTAGCCCTAAAAAAAATCTCTGTGTAACCCCAAAAAAAAATTAAACTGATTTCATCTTTTGCTTTTGTTTTTCTTCATTGTGTTTATGTTTTTGATTTTAAAAAAACGAAGTCAAAGCTCAAAAAATAAAAGTAAAAATATGAGGTTGTGGACCTCAAAAAGATCTACATCCCCATATTTTTTTTGTTCTTTTTTTTTAAATAATTTTTAGCCCGCAAAAAAAATCATCGCAGGTCCTGGTGAAACCCGTCGTTTCGGCGTTTAAACGCCAAATCAATGGAATTCAACGGTCGTCGAATCATTCAACGCGGAACCCGCGTTGAATCCAATTTCTGACACACAGAGCATGCACTATTCTCTTGCTGCTTATATACCATCGGATGGTATGAAGAAGTTTTCTCCCCGTGCATTCTACGGAAGGGGCGTATCACAATAGTAGTGATCCAATCGGGCTATGAGAAAACTTCCACATACCATGAAATGCACTTGAGAGCGCCCACCTCCACATTATCCAGACGACGTAAGCACAACGACCGTTGTTTCTGCTTATTCACATACCTTGGCGACCTTGAAAACAAACAGCCTTAGGCTTATGCGAACCCATAAAAAAAAAAAAAAAAAAAAACAGCCTTCCTCAAATTCCTCTTATGTGAATGTGGGTAGGAATGCAGATGCCTCGTATTATTCGAGGGATGCCTGTAGTGGAGTTCAAACTGAAAACGTGACTGCGCCGTAATTAGTAATTAGTAATTAGTAATTACTAATTACCCCTTCAAAGAATATACCGGCCAGACCTCCACAACCCTCACCAAGTCCCTCCGATGTAGCGATGGAGTAGGAGGGGGGTAGGAGGGGAAACCAATCATCCCCCGCAGACGAAGAAGCTGAACCTCTTTCCACTATACCCTCACCAACGACAAACCACTACATGCTCCAATCCATTCGTGGGGAGCATCACGTGCTGGGATCCGGTCCCAGTGTCCCTGGACAAATTATTACAGATTTGTTTTTAGCACCGGCGCATCACGTGCACGAAGAACAGTGTAGACGAGTATTTCAAACGAGGAATTAACAGAAGGGGCAAAGCCAACTAGCAAAACCAGACAAAGGAACGGAAAGACCTCTCCTCCCTGTCAACCTAACGCCCCTCACTCCGGCACGTCGTACTACATCAGACTCACCAACTCTGATGCCGCTGCGGCCTAGAGTGGGTCCACAAGGACGCAAATCCTGGTAAACCCTGCATATGATATCAGTTGAAGTAACTCACCTCAGAGGAGAGCCTTTTATGTTCAACTTGGCAATACTTGTAAACAAACAGACTTCCTCTAATGCGAACTCGTCAAAACGCTTCCGTAAAACCCTGAGCAATCAGTGGCATCGCTTTAGAACTCGTCAAAACGCTTCCGTAAAACCCTGAGCAATCAGTGGCATCGCTTTACATTTGGTAAAGAATTTCAATGTGACCCTGAGGCAATCGTTGTTCAGTTTATTTTTCTGCGTAACATAGTTTTTTTGGATTGTTTTTTTTTTTTTTTTTTTTTTGATGTGGCATTCCCTTGTCCTTGCATAGGGTGACCCGGGCAGCCCGGCTGCTAGCCTAGGAAAATTGTTACCGCCGGATATTGTACGTGCCCGGTAAACCGTAGGCAGAGAGAGAGAAGAGGACAACAAACGAGGGGCTGTGACAAACTCTTTCGTCGGAGTTTCACCGACTCATCAGGAGGCTGGCCCGGCCAGGCAAGTGGTCCCAGGCCACTCTGGTAGTAGCGTACACAGTTAACAACGTAATACAACTTGCCTTAGAGGAGAGCCTTCATCTGAATCTTGTTGCTCGATCGTGCGGACCAGAGTAGTTGATTTCTGTGCCCAAAGGGATGATTCCATGTGGGTTGAGCGAAAGCTGACTCATGAAGTAGAACTTCTTGATGTGGTACATGTCCACTGCCAATGCCATTTTCGGTATCTGGTATACATCTTTCATGTATCCCAAAATGTTCAGGTACTCTCGAAGAAGTTTCTTGTTTGTCTTGTAGAGCACTACATACACCTGCCAAAGAATCGCACGACAAACAAAAAACCATCCCACAACTGATGTTAAACCACTAGTACCTTTGCCGCTTGGAAAATAGCGGGCCTCGGGTAGGCATCCGACCTTTTCGGAGGCCGAAACGAAATGACGGCCGGAAAATAGTACCTTTGCCGCTTGGAAAATAGCAGGCCTCCCACAACTGATGTTACCTTTTCGGGTAGGCATCGCACAACTGATGTTAAGAAAAAAAAAAAGAAACAGAAAAAAACTTCAGTACCAAGTTGCAAACATGTGACTGTGACGATTGCAGTGCCCACAATGTGAGACGGTGTTGAGTGGAAATGATTGTTGTGTCCAATTGCTGTGTGCTTATGCCCCGAAAGCAGAGAGCAAGCAGAGCATCTTGACCGCTAGATGTGGCAAGCGCTTCAGACCGTAAGTAGGCAGCCATTCATCTGTGTGATGGAAAAAGAATCCATGGAGGGGACGGAAAACCATGGTAGGGATGCAGGGAGAGAGGCAGTCGTTTCGAAGCAGTACATTTGTAAAACGCAGTCCATTACAACATCATCCACCTGAGCGGCAATGGGTAGGTGCTGGGTTCAAAACCCAGTGGCATCACTTTCAATGGCCTGAGGTAAGCCGGCCGAGTCCAGATTGATGCTGGTTGGCGCTGGGGTGTGAGCAGTGCCACCATCCTCCTCCCTCGTCACTTCTCCTTGGCGCACCCCTACTCCCGCAGTCCTACCTCAGTGTTCACCACTCGGGACTAGCCCCCTTCTACCAACTTAGTGTGGGGTGACCTAACCCAACAGCAGTTGTTAGCAACAGGGCTGAGCGGGACCCCTGCTCAACCCTGATTGAAGCATAGTCAGGCAGGCCTTTGTCGTACAGATACTTCGAGCACTAAATGCGTAAGCAATCTTTCTACGAGTCCCATAGGTGGACCCCAGTGTATCTATCAATCCAGATTTACACCCTAGATATCACAGGCAGTGTCTAATGCCCCCCCCCCTAGCCAAAATCTAACCCATGGCATCCTCTCAGTAACTCGATTATACCCACCTAGCACAGCTATTATCTGTTGTTCTAGTTGTGTCGTTCGTTGTATGTACTGTAGTTTCGTGATTGCCACCTGGAGGTTCTAGCCTATTATCAGCCACGTGTACGGCCACCATCCGCCCGTCTACCTTAGACGTCCCCATAAACCCCTCTCTGCTCACTTTTTTTTTTTTTTTTTTTTTCTGTGGTTGTACGATTTTTGTTCTGATCGCTGTTGGTTGTATACCATCTGGAGGTACCCCCCCCCCTTCCCCCCGCTTAAAAAAAAACAAACAAACTCCGAGGTGGGCATCACTTAAGGAGGTGATAAGAGCATCCTCCTGAAGTGGCCGCTTTTTTGGAGGCTCCATCCACTGGTGCGGAGCATCGCCTGCTGGAAATCAGGTCCAGAGTCCCATTCATAATGAAATCACAATGAATACATAGCAGCACGTGAGCAGCTGACACTGTATAATGTACATTTAGGAAGAACGGCTTCTATTGTGCACCGGCCCCTGTACCGCTGGGGGTCTCTGCCGATAGCCTTTCCTTCCTGACTCTGTAGAAAGCAAGCACATCATGTGCAAAATCTTTGTGTAGAGGAAGTCCCTTGTGCATGGTCCAGGGTGGTGTGTCCGGCTGGCTAGGGTTGTAGGGTTAGGGCTTGGGTAAGGGAGTAGCAAAGAGGTGACAAAGAGGATACTAATTGAGAATGGTGGAGGGTAGCAGTAGAGTTAGAGGGTGGTAACTTGTAAGTACTAGGTGAAGGAGAGGAGGGCAGGGCTAATAGACGAATAGGGGAGTGAAAAGGTTGGAAAGCGGCTTTGGAAGTATGTGAGTTTTGCGGGGGGCACACTGGGGCTTCTCTTAATTTACCTTTTCTTCTGATATCAGACCCTCAGAACCTCAGTGAATGGGAGTGAGACGCAATTTAATGGCCGAACTTGCCACTGGTCTTCATTTACTGGTAAATTACTACCCATTTTTTTCCAGACCAGTGTCCCCATAGCCAAGAAGTTTGCTATTTTACATTGCGGATCCAACCAAGTTTCTTTAAATGCCGTATTTGCCTGCAACCTGGTCCATTTGATTAGACACGGTCTTGAGTTCTTCCTTGAACCGCTAGTACACGGCCCCAGCCTTGCAGAAAGTTTTTGTCGCCACAAGCAAAACTCAGAGGCGCCGTCGGGCCAGGCCCGCCGTTGAAAAAAAAAATCGGCGGCCTCCAAAGTGGTGCGGGTTTCATGCTGACACCCACGGGCCGATATGTGGTGTACTGGTGCTTTACGTCTCTTCTGGGCCTTCGCTATGTTCGTTCTGATAGTTTCCAATATTTCTGCTTTAACCCATGGGAGATCAAAAACACCTTCTTGACGTTCGTACGAGCAGTGCATCCTCCATATGGCCATCAGGATGGCCACTAGCATCGCAGATATGCGGGTTACCAAGGATCGGTTGTCTCCAAATTTCATGCCATCTCGGTTGGGTGGGTGGGTGGGATCAGGATGTCCATTAGCATCACAGATATGCGGGTTACCAAAGATCAGTTGTGTCCAAATTTCATGCCATCTCAGGGGGGTGGGTGGGTGCGGTATGTTTAGTAGGCCCCATTTCTCTCCACAACTGCAAGATATTGGCCCATAGGAGGTCCCTTTTGAGGTCCCAGCTGATGCTGTCACACATTGTTTCGACGCTTTGGTATTTTGGAGGCTTAGGTATGGACCAATCCTTGAGGGGGGTTATAGCCATCTCAGAGGGCGGACCCGACTTGTGTGGGGGGAAGAGGGGGCAAGGTCAGATATCTGAAAATATGCAAGATTGAGCCAAGGAAGGTCATTTGCCATTACATCCTGGTAATGACTTTGAAGATTAGTGCTTTAATGTCATCCCCTGGATCGAATATTCCTAGGCCTCCTACTCTTTTAGGTTGGGTGTTAGTTTCGGTGATCGGTATGTACTAGGCCACCATCCGTTCCGGTTCCTCCTACCTCTGTCATCAACTGGGCCTACTCCGCTCTATTTGTCAACGTGGGAAGCGGATAATCCCACCACTATCTATCCTTAAGACAGTCCCCACCCCTCCCCACCCCGGGGTCAACATCCCATACACTTAAAAGTTACAACAGACCTTTGGCCGAGGAGCTGCGTTAGCGCTAGCGCCCCGACGCCGGCGGACCGGTAGGCCCTGTTCCCTTGGCTCGACTAGCGCCTGGGGATGTAAGCTCCCAGGCTGCTAGGCCTGTGCGCGCGCCCGGCAGTGGCGCATGGCTCTTCGATTGCCACGTGGGATCTGCTGTAGGGATGCGAATGTCTGCGACCCGCGGGCAGGGGTAGTGCCAGCGTTGAAGACCGACGACGAATAGCAATACGTGGCGCAGCAATTTGGGTGAGAGATGGAGATGGTAGGGGAGCTACAACGTGGAGCATCTCGACTACAGGATACACTCAGTGACAATGAAGATGACGACTGGCTTACAGAAGCTGCTGAAGGTGAGCAAGATGATGATTGCGATGTCCTCCGCTATTATACACGTATTTGCGCTATGTCTGAGATCTGGGAATCTGAAAGAGAGACGAGCTGTGCTGTTGCTGTGCATGAGTGTGATGAGTACGAGGAGGGGGGAGAAGAAAGGTGGGCTAACTTGATGGCACTGTCCTACCAGGTTGAGGAGGAGACTGCAGCTGGCGATGAAGAGAGGGAATATGCCGCTGATGATGAGGGGGGGCGGAGAAGAAAGGTGGGCTAACTCGATGGCACTGTCCTACCAGGTTGAGGAGGGGAGTGCAGTTGGCGATGGAGAAAGGGCATATGCTGCTGATGACGCAGGTGTGTGGGAGGTTAGGGATGAGAGTGCAGTTGGCGATGGGGAGGGGGAATATGCCACTGATGACGCATGTGAGTGGGAAGCGGAGTGGGGGCTGTTGGCAGCAGTGGATATGGCGGCAGCGGCAGCGGAGATGGCAACAGTAACAACAACAACATCTACAACAACAATATTGGAGGTGGAGTAGGGGTCGGCAGATGAGAGGCAAGGAATGAGCGGGATTGGAGAGAAGGGTGGGATGGTCGACAACAACAAGGACAATAACAACATCGACAACAACAACAATTGCGAATTTAACAATGACGGCGAGCGGCGAATAGGCAAACTGGGTGAGATAGGAGTGAAGGAGGAGAACAACAACAACAACACCAACAACAACACCAACAACACCAACAACACCAACAACAACAACAACAACAACAACAACAACGGCGACGGCAACAACAACAACAACAACGACGACAGCAACACCAACGCGATGGAGGAGAGGGGAGAGAACACCAATGACATGGTGGAGAGGGGGGAGAACGCTGACAACAACAACAACAACAACAACAATGCCGACAAAGACGGTGGTGGTGACAACGGCAGCAGCGGGGCAGTGCGTGGTGACGTCGAGGGGATTGGGGGTGTCAACAGCAACAACAACAACAACAACAACAACAACAACAACAACAACAACAACAACAATGATGAAGGTGAGCGGGGATCGGGTGAGATGGGCGACCAGGATGAGATGGGGGACAGCAACAACAACAGCAACGGCCGTAACAACAGCAACAACAACAACAATAGCAACAATTATGACGAGGACGAAGGTGGCGATCATGACAGCGAGAGCGGTCACGTCGAGGGGATTGGTGGAGACGTCCGTGGCAGCAGCATGCCGCAAGCAGATTTGGACGGGGTTGCGGGTGGTGGGATGATTACAGAAGATGCTTCTCGCCTCGATAACATTTCACTTGCAGGAGGTCAATCCTTCCCTTGTGTAGGGAAGTAATCAATGCCCCTGCGCTCTTCGGATTCACATCATCACACTGTTTTGCATAAAGGACTCTGGATTCGTTGTTCTGATCATATACCGCATTGATAGGGCTTTTTTTAGGGTTGATTGACTCTGTGCACACACATCACACAAGTGGTAGGGTTTCGTGTGTAGATTCATTGATACACAGCACATACAGGTCTTTCTGTTTGGATTTCGTGGATGAATAACTCTGTTACGATTTTGTGGCATGCCTACTCCGCAATAAATACAGATTGACAAAACATACATAGACAATTTTCGATTGCTCTATAGGAATATCCAATCATCACTGTATAGGGACGCTGGACCCGTTTTCCAGCTCATACACATCACATCATTGTATAGGGGCGCTGGACCCGATTTCCAGTAGGTGCAGCTCCACACCAATAGATGGAGCCTTCAACGCAGGGGCCTACTTACCAGGGATGCTCGTATCACCTCGGTAAGTAGGTTTTTCCTGCTCAGAAGTTTTCAAAAAAAAAAAAAAAAAAAAAAAAAAAAACGGAAAGTCCCCAACCCATGTTCCCCCCAAGTCATCAGCCAGAGCAGCACCAGTCTCGGTCCTCGGCACGGTACTAGGCCACCATACGTTAATCTTACCTCTGTCATCCACTGGGCCGGACCTACTCTGGTCTATCTGCAGGGAGGGCCTACCTCAGGACTCCTGCCTAATCCCTCTCCACCCCACTCAAAATGTCGAGTCCTCATTTGAGTTGGGAACATGTGTGAAGAAGATGAGATTCTGAGAGTAAACTGACACTAGGCCCTGCAGAATCCCAAAATCAGCGGCCAGATCGAGTCCTCCTTTTAGAAGGTTTTGAAAGAAATTGATCTGGCTGCGGATTTTGTGATTCTGTGCGTATAAGGGCCTAAGTATGAGTATATGTGATTGAATGCTCAGCTTTGAGGTAGCTCAACGCTGCTAGTGGGACATGGCCCCCAGGTTTGCTGATGTAGTTCATAGCATTTCCCTAGATTATCCTCCTCCTCCTCCTCCTCCTCCTCCTCATCATCATCATCATCATCATCATCATCATCCGCCTCCTGAAAACAAAAAAGAAAAGGTGGCAAAATGAGCAAAGGGAAAAAGAAAAAGAAACAGAAAAGGATAGAGATTGCATACCTCGTCGAATCGAATGAGAGAGACAAACAGTCGAATATCTGCCTCCGTGAATGTGTTGCCGACAAGGAATCGTTGCTTCGCCAAAATCTTTTCAACCCTATCCAATGCCGCATAAAGTTTTGTGCAAGCCTGATCCATCATTGACAGACAGACATCCCATTCCCCCACATTAAGAACATTGGCCACACCATAACCATCGGGGCAACAAAAAAAAGGGACAATCGCCACAAGTTCCACAACACAACCATCAGATGAAGCACCTCTTCGGGCATACTCGCACTAGGCCCTCAAAATCGCAAAACCGCAAAAATGAGTGGCCAGATTGAGTTCTTGTAAACCAAGGACTGGCCACTCATTTTGCAATTTTCAGATTTTGTGATTTTGAGGGCCTAGTGTGAGTATACTTTTTGTAAGCTCACATGGCCACTAGAGTTTTGTATATTCTCTCCAAGACAAGTATCTTCTACATTGTGGTTTTTTTTTTTCGTTGTTCTTTTCGCAGGTATACAATGGCAATCTCTTTTATGGTGTCATCAATGGCATTCCACGTACCATTAAAACGCGACAAATAACAAGGTGGGATTTTTTCCTCTTCTTTTCTTTTCTTTCTTTAAACCACCAGTACTTGGCCCAGCTATTGGCCGCGGAAAAGAATAGAGTAGAAACGTTTCTAGTTGGATGAATTTGGGCGCTCCTGTAGTGGCCCGTACGTTTCCTAAAATCGCGTAGCGTTAATGGGCACGACATTAGGAAGTACTGGTGTGGGCCCATTTCTATTCTCGAGGCGGCAGTGCGGTTCCACTGGCAAGGCTGTACTAGAAATGGAGGGAACAATTTTTTTTTTGGGGGGCGCCGACCTTGAACCTGGATCATGATCTGTGCTCCTCTATTCGACCGTTGGACACAGCCACTGAGCGCCTCAATCGCAACGGGGATGTGTAGCTACATCAGAACTATACTCAGAGAGTTTTTTTTCTCTTTTTTCCGCAGCTACTTTTGCGAAGTACGGAGGCGCTGATTTTCGTTGTTGAATTCCGGCTCATGTACTATGGCATTTCTTCACCTGTATGCTGTGGCAAGAGGGGACAGGAAGCTGCCAGGACAGCGGACCGATTTGATGACACGGGATTATGGCTGTAAGATGGGGAGTGAGTGGGAAGGGAAACGAGAGAGGGAAAGAGGAAACGTGGAAGGAATTATAAAGCCAGTGAAGGGGACACTGATCATATGGCCGGGGAGGAGCCCTCCTGAAGAGACCTGTTGTACGCGCAGGTCGAAACGCGTCGAGGGGTATGCGTGGTTTTTTGTAATGGTGTTTGGTTCGGCAACGCATGCTGGCCCTCCATAGAGCTGGCCTTACCTGTTCGTTATTATCTGCCCTTGCTTCTTCTTCTTCTTCTTCTTCTTCTTCTTCTTCTTCTTTTTTCAGGAAAAAAATCCCCGGCCGGTGCCAGGGGTGCTGATAAGAGCAGGCACCACTAGCACTCCCGAGGAGGCTCCATCTATTGAACTCGATACTCAACAATCTTCAACACCTGGTCATGACTTGGGACAGAATATTCTTGCAGATTTTGTCCCGCTTTTCATCGACTGCCACTTGCTATCCAATGGACGATAGATGCTGTGCCCAAACCCAGTCGGGATTCCTTGTTGACTCATTGAACACCCATCTCAAGTAGTACATTGAACGCCCATCTTAAGTAGTGCATTGAACACACCCATCTTAAGTAGTGGGAGTTCCTCTTCTACCGTAAATCGGGCTCTCCAGTGCACTGCTGCCAATCTTTTTTTTTTTGTTTTGTTTTTGCTGGGAACCTGGCCCAGCGTCCCTTAGAGAAAACAAATTGATGATGATACTACAGATAATAATAAGATGATGATGATGATGATGAAGAGGATGATGATGATGATGATGATGATGATGATGATGAGGAGGAGGAGGAGGAGGAGGATAATCTAGGAAAATGCTATGAACTACATCAGCAAAACCCGGGGCCATGTCCCACTAGCAGCGTTGAGCTACCTCAAAGCTGAGCATTCAATCACATGTGACAGGGCGCAAGCTCTAAGATGCTAGATGTCCCTGCGAATCCAGCGGTGGATTCAAGGAAAGAAAATTTAATTTCCTTTTCTGGTTTACTTTATGAGAAAACTAGGGTGCGGTCAGGGTTGGAGTTTCAAAATACGTTTCAAACTTCCGTTTTGGAGTCCAGTCCCCTCTGAAGTTTACACTGCAGGCCAAACTCCTCCGTCGCGTGGCTATCGCAGGGCAGAGTTTGTAACTGCAGTCTAGTCATCCACGTCGGAGGGCCAGGCCATTGTCCCCCCCAAAAAAGAAGAAACAAGAAGAAAAAAAGGAAAGATCGTGGAGCTGTATCTTTCCATGTCCTAGGGGAAGATTCACTCTCTGTTTCCACGATTGATCTCAAAATGTGCAAAACCAGAGTGAATCTTCTCTAGAACATGGAAAGATACAGCGCCATGATTTTTGTCTTTTGTGCCACGGGGATACAGGGGCCCAACGGGATACACGGGCTGACAACAATGCAGAGGCCCTAGGGGATACTCGTGCTGACAACAACCCAGTTTCGTTTCATTTTTTTTTCTCTTTTGTCTGTCCTCCTCAGATTTCCCGACCTATGCGTGTCATCCTTGGGGCCTCGTGGCGGTGCATCTTACCATGTTCTAGGGGAAAATTCACTCTCGTTTCGCACATTCCGAGAGTATTTGAGCCCCCCTCACTCCACTCTGTCGGAATGTGCAAAACGAGAGTGAATCTTCCCCTACAACATGGAAGATACACCGCCATGATTTTTGTCTTTTGTGCATGTCAAGAATCATGGAGCAAGGTCCTCTGTTTTTTATTTTATTTTTAAGGCCCTCTGTTTAATTATTATTATTATTATTATTATTATTATTATTATTATTATTATTATTATTATTTATTTTTTAATCACGGCCGCGTCGCGTGGCTGGCCACAGCGATGCCTCGGCCACATTTGAGGGAGTAAAAAAAAAAAAAAAAAAAAGGAGAGAGCATCTCATCTCGTGGCTGAGCCACGGCCGCGATGCCTCGGCCGCGGCCGAGATTAAAAAAAAGAAAAAAAAAAGAAAAAAAAAGGCCACATGCAGGACTGGAGTGGAGTTGCAAACTCAGCCTTGCGACTGTTCTGCATGTCAAGAGTTTCGACTGGATTTGAAACTTGGGACCATACTGGACTCCAAAACGGCAGTTCGAAATGCATTTACAAACTGCTTTCGTGACTGCGCCCTCGTTACCCCTTATTTTATTATTAGAAACCAGAGTAAAATGCCTTTTTCTCAAGTAGAACGGCCCCTACCCGAGTTCCCTTCCATTGAGCTAGCTCTTATCTTTTTCTCTTTGTAGCCAGCTCAACGACGATACTCATGGAACGACAACTTTTATTGACATTGAGATAATGAGCCTGGCTTCTGACGTGTCATAGTACCGTACCGTCCGAAGCCCAATTCTGGAAACGGAGCAACGAGGCGATCGTCCAGCCAACAGGCAGTACTTCCACACACACGTTGTTGAATTTGGCTGCATTTAGGGGATAGGCAGGGCTGAACCGGCAACCGGCCGGTTGGACCAGACCGGATCCAGCCCGGCCGGTCGGACCCCCGGTGGTCCAACCGGAAATCCGGTTGGGCCCAAAACCGGGTCAATTTTTTTTTTTTTTTTTTTTTT